CCCTTGGCTCCATATCCTCACCAGCATCTGTTATCTCTTGTCCTTTGGACAGCCACCCTAACAAGTGTGAGGTGATATTTCACTGTGGTCTTGCTTTGTATTTGCCTGATGGAGATGCTGAGCACCTTTTCATGCATCTGTTGGTCATTTGTATATCTTCTTTGGAAAAATGTCTTTTAAGGTCCTCCTTTAACCATTTTTTAATTAGGTTTTTGATTGTTTGATTGTTGGCTATTGAGCTGTATGAATCTCTTATGTATTTTGAAGATTATCCTCTTATCAGATAGATACTTTGCAAATATTTTCCCCCATTCCATTGGTTGCATTTTCATTTTGTTTGATGGTTTCCTTCACTGGGCAGAAGCTTTTTCATTCAATGTAGTCCCTTTCATTTATTTTCACTTTGGTGGCCTTTCCTTTTGCTGTCAACTCAAAAAAAAAAAAAAAAATCATTGTCAAGACCAACGTAACGGAGCAAAACTGCTTGTTTTCTTCTAGCAATTCTATGGTTTCAGGACTTACATTCAAGTCTTTAGTCCATAGAGTTGATTTTGTGCATGATAGGGATTCAGTTTCATTCTTTTGCATCTGGCTGACCCAGTTTTCCCAACACATTTTACTGAAGAGGCTATTCTTTCTCCATTGTCTATATATCCTTGCCTCCTTTATCATACTAATTGACCATGTATGTATGTGTTTATGTAGGGGCTCTCTATTCTGTTTCATGGATCAATGTGTGATTTTATGCAAATGCCACACTGTTTTGATTACCATAGCTTTGTCATATAGTTTAAAATCAGAAACTGTGATGCCTCCAGCTTTGTTCTACCTACTAAATATTGCTTTGGCTATTCGGGGTCTTTTTTGGTTCCACAGAGTTGTAGGTTTAATTGTTTTATTTTTGTGAAAATACCATTGTGACTTTGATAGGGATTGCATTAACCTGTAGATTGCATTGGGTTGTTGGGACATTGTAACAGTATTAGTTCCTCCAATCCATGATAATAGAATAGCTTTCTATTTAGATGTATTCTTCAATTTCTTTCATCAATGTCATATAGTTTTTATTGTACTCATCTTTTACCTCCTGGGTTAAATTTATTCCGAAGTATTTTATTCCTTTTGATGTAAATGTAATAGAAATTGTTTTCTTAATTTCTCTTTCTGATTGTTCATTGCTAGTGTACAGAAGTGCAATTGATTTTTGCATATTGGTTTTGTACTCTGCAACTTTACTGAATTTATTTATTAGTTCTAACAGTTTTTTCATAGAGGTTTTAGGATTTTATATATATAATATTTTGTCATCTGCTATAAATAGAGACATTTTTACTTCTTCTTTTCTGATCTGGATGCCTTTTCTTTTTCTTGCCTAATTGCTCTGGCTAAGACTTCTAGTACTATGCTGAATAAAAGTGGTGACAGTAGGCATCCTTGTACTGTGTCTGATCTTAGGGAAAAAAGCTTTCAGCTTTTCACTATTGAGAATGTTAGCTGTGGTTTTGTCTAACACGGCCTTTATTATTTTAGGTACATCCCTCCTATTGACAATTTGTGAAGAGTGTTTAGTCATGAAAAGATGCTGAATTTTGTCAAATGCTTTCTTTGAATCTATTGAGATAATCATATGATCTATTTTGATCTAACTGTAACTGAAATAACAGTTCCAATGTTTCCTTACTGATTTTCTGTCTTGCTGATCTATCCATTGTTCAAAGTAGGATACTGAAGTCCCATAGTGTTTTTGTATTGCTGTCTATTCCTCCCTTCAGATCAGTTAATATTTGCTTTATATATTTAGGTTCCTCCTCCGTTGGGTGCATAAATAGTCAGTAATGTTAATCCCCTTCACATACTGACACCTTCATCATTATGTAATGACTTTTTTCTCTTGTTATAGTCTGTGGTTTAAAGACTACTTTGTGTGATATATGTATAGCTACACCCACTTTCTTTTGACTTCCATATGATGAAATATCCTATATCTTGCCACTCCCATTTGGCCAACAACATTTTTTCCAAAAAAAAACACAAAACCCTGATAGTCTTATGGGAGTTTCCTTGTAGGTAATAAGTTGCTTTTCCCTTGCTGCTTTTAAGATTCTTTCCTAATACTTAAACTTTGACAATGTAATTGTAATGTGTTTCAATGTGGGTCTCTTTAAATTCATTATATGTGGTATCTTTTGGGCTTCCTGGATCTGGTTGTCTGTTTCTTTTCCTAGGTTAGCCAAGTTTTCAGCCTTTATTTTGTAGAATAATCTTTCTGTCCCTTTCTCTCTTCTCCTCTGGACCCCTATAATGCATATGTTGGTGTACTTAATGGTTTCTTGTAAGTCCTTTAAGCTATCTTCACTCTTTTGCATTTTTATTTCTTTTGCTCTTCTGATTAAATGCATTTCATTGGCTTGTCTTCTAGTTCACCGATCTTTTCTTCTGTTTTATCTAGGCTGATTTGAATCCCTCAACTTAATTTTTCCATTCAGTTACTATATTCTTCAGCCCTATGATTTCTTTTCTTAAGATTTTATTTATTTATTTTTAGAGAGAGAGGAAGGGAGGAAGAAAGAGAGGGAGAGAAACATCGATGTGAAAGAGAAACTTCCATTAGCTGCCTCTCATATATTCCCTGACCAGGGACTAAACCTGCAACCCAGGCACATGACCTGAATATGAATTGAACGGGTGACCTTTCAATTCACAGAATGACACCCAATCAACTGACCCACACTGGTCAGAGCAGCTCTATGGTTTCTGTTAATACTTTATATTATTTTTCTATCTCTTTGTTGAGTTTCTCACTTTGTTCATGCATTGCTCTCCTGACCTCAGTGAGCATCTTTATGACTTATGTTAAACTATAAGGTAAATAAAATACCTTCATTTCATTAAGATTTCTGGAGATTTATCTTGTTATTTTGTTTGAAACATATTCCTTTATTTCTTCATTTTCCTTGACCCTGGGCTGGTTTCTGAGAATTGAATAAAGCAGCAACTTCTTCCAGTCTAAATAGTTTGGTCTTGAGTAGGATGTACCTTCCTAACCTGGCCCAAGCTCCTGAACATCTCTCAAACCATTTAGATTGTCCAAGCAGCCTTCTTTGTTCTTAGTGACTCCCAATACTTGAGGGTATGCCAAGAACCACCAGTGTTCCAAAGGAAAAGATCATATTCAAAACCTAGATGCAGGCTGATTGGAAGCCAGACCCTCTGACATCAACTAGGAAAGTATGTAGATAAGCCCCTTCTCTAGCGAGAAAGGGAAATAGATATCTTTGCCTGTTCCCTCTGTGCTAGGCTCAGGTCTAAAGCTGCAGGGTAGGAGGGCAGGATGCCTGTTAAGAACTACATTTTTGTTTGCTACACCTTTATGGGACCCATGAATGCAAGCCCCAGTGGCTATCTAAGCCAGATGATCCAGGGGCACATCACTCAGGAAACAGCTGCAAAAGTTGAGGCACTAGACTTCATACAAGCTCTTTCTAGGGAGATACTTATGATCTAAAGTAAGCTAAAAGGAAAACGTAAGAGACGTGGCTGCCTGCTTCTCCTATATCCAGGAAGGACCAAACCCTGGGCCTAGATGCCTCCTAAACTAGAAGCCTGCCATCAGATAGGAGCTTTTAAAGTATGCAGATAGACCCCTCAGGACAAGGTGGAGATGCGCATTATTGTCTGCTCCTTCTGTGCTCAGGGAGATAGTTGCTTTGAGTGCCTGCACACCTGTTAACAACTGCTTCTTTGTTTGCTATAGCCTGCGGTACTCATGACAAAGCCTTGTTGGCTTTCAGAACTATGTCTTGGGTGCCTATCTCTCAAGTGGAAGTCTTAAGAGTTGGGGCACCAAACATGTGGTCCAACCCCTTTGCTCCTCAAGGAGAAGCTGGGAGTTCCCTCTTGACTGTATGATCCTGTGCCAGAGGTGGGGTTTATGATGGGAGTGAATCTCAGGTTTTCTTACTGGTTTCAATGTAGATGATCTCTCACTTGTTTAATGTGTAGGAGCTGGTCAGGGTATGTGCAGAAGGCAACTGATTGATGTTTCTTTCTCACATTGATATTTCTGCCTCTCTCTCCCCCTTCCTCTCTAAAATCAATAAACATATCCTGGCATGAAGATAAAAACAAAAAGAATATCTTCATGATATGCATGAAAAAAGGGAGTTCTATAGAAAGTAATCTCACAGGGTGATCTGACTATAAATTCCTAACAGGACAGGTCATTGATGGGTAGTCATGCCCCAGGCCTATTACTTTTTTTGTGAAAGGTTTTAATTTTTGTGTATCTAAGTAATACCCCTACAAAGGTGTATTCCCTCAAGAGAATCCATAATCATGTTAACTCTCCTATATTGCATTTTTCCCACCTCCAGGTAATCTTCTTTAGTTCCTTCCTTAACTTCAAATGCATAAAAAAAGCTGCAAAATTGTTAGCCTGCAAAGCATTTGAGATCTTGCTCCCAGTATAAGCAGTCAGTTTGGCTCAAATAAAATCTTATTAAAATTCTCTACAGGTTTGCACATTTCTTATGTCAACACATCCTTTTCAAATGCAAACAGAATATTCATTAAATTGTACCATGTGCTGATCTGGTCTATAAACTAAGTTTCAGTGAATTATGTTTTAGGTTTTACAACTTTTTATTTGCATATTAAAAACTGTGCATTCCAATAATCAAAATTGTTTTAACAAAACAAAAATAGCATTCTGATTAAACTGCATTTTACAACCTGCAGGACACCTTGGACTAGCTTGGTTTTTACTCTAGATTTCACTGTCATCCCACAAAGCTTCTTTCATCACCAACACGCAAGTTCGTTTCCTTCCCTGACAGCCAAAGAGGCAGGTGGAAGAGGCAGGTGCGGTCTTCATTGTCAGCAGTTCTGATATGAAAAAGGGTAGCACAGTCATTTAAACTGATCCAACCTCTTTGCATCTTACAAAGTTAAACAGATAAAAGATGCAAAATAAGAAGGCAATGCTTGTGAGAAATGTACGGTGCATATTGGCAGTGTGGGTCTCATTACGATTAACCTGCTTGCTTTTCCTGTTCAACTGTTTCTTTGGATGACAGTGGATTTTTCTCTTGTATTTCTGTCTTCTTCAATTTCAACTTATCAAACTTCTCAATCTTGGCCATATTGGGTTTATCAGACATAGTTACTGAGGAAGTAGAGGGAGGCATGTGAATGAGGGGGGTCTGATCTGCTCAGTGACCGCTGCCAAATTAGTTTAAGTGAATTTGAAAACACTGAATTTGTAAGAATTATGTTCTTGGACCTCAATGAAATTAAACTAGAAATTAATATTAAAAGGATATCTAGAAAATCTCCCAATATTGTTAAATTAACATACTTCTAAGTAACATAAAACCTTTCATTTTTTTCCTTTATTCATAATGCTATTCCAGAAAGCAAAGAGTTGTTATCTCCAAAATTCCTCACCCTTACCTAATAAACGTAAAAAGTTCTTTGAGAATTGTTTGGGACTTCCAGTCAAGATGGTGGCACAGGCAGACATGGCTGCCTCTTTGCCCAACCACATCATCAAAATTACAATTAAAATATAGAACAACAATCACTCAGAAGCACCAGAAATCGAGTTGAATGGAAGTTTGACAACTTTGGAATTAAAGAAACCGCACCAACCCAGACTGAAACGGCAGGCTGGTGCCATATCTGAAACTCCATCAACCTGGCTACCGCTGTTTGACGCTTCCCCCTTGGAGACCCACAGGGATTCTGCACCACCCAATGTATGAGCCTCCCCTCCCCGCCCCCACCAAGCTGCTTTTCCATATAAATGGCTGGTCTTGGCTCAGGCTTCATAACTTCTTAAATCTTACCAAAGAAGCAACAGCTGGCGTCAGTGAGCCCCAGGCCCAGCACTAGCAGCAGCCAGTGTAGATTCACAGCTTGGCTTTCCCTGGGAATCTCCAAGCCCACCACAAGTAGCAGCCACCTCAGATAGCTTTAGGCTCAAACAGGCTTGCCCTGGGCAAAACACAGGTTGGGGCTGACCTTGGCCTGCACCACCCAGGAAACCCCAGGGCCAGTGGACCCAGTGAACAGCTACAGACCACGTTGGAGTACCATCTCCCTGCCCCTGCACAGCTGATCCTCCACAGAGGGCAGATTTGCTTGTAAGTGGTCACAGCCAATCCTTGCTGCTGACTGGCCTAGGTAAATCTGTCCCACTGATCTGCCAACAGCAACCAAGGCTCAACTTTAGGAGAAGGGTGTGATCATCGATGCCACACAAAGGTCGCAGCTCAAGTATCTAGCTTGGATGATAGGGGAAGCTGTGCCACTGGACCCTGGAGGACACTTACTACATTAGGCAACACTACAAAGACATGAAGCCTTGTCTTGCAACTCTACCTAACACATCTAAACAAACAGAGGGAGGCTGCCAAAACTAGGAGACAAGAAATAGGCCCAAATGAAAAAACAGATCAAAACTTCAGAAAAAGAACTAAATAAGCCCTAACTGGTGTGACTCAGTGGATTGAGTACTGGCCTGCAAACCTAAGGCTTGCCAGTTTGATTCTCAGTCAGGGCACATGACTGGGTTGCAGACCAGGTCCCTGGTTGGGGGCATCTGAGAGGCAACCAATCTATGTATCTCTCACACATCAATGTTTTCTCTCCCTCTCTTTCTCCCTCCCTTCCCTTCTTTCTAAAAAATAAATAAATAAAATCTTTTTTTTAAAAGAGCTAAATGAAATGGAGATAAGCAATCTATCAGATGCAGAGTTCAAAACACTGGTTATAAGGATGCTCAAGCAACTTAGTAAGGACCTCAACAGCATAAAAAAGACCCATTCATAAAAGAGGGATACACTAATTAAAATAAAGAACAATTTACAGGGACTGCTTTCACCTCCCTTATTCAAAATAGTACTGGGAGTCCTAGCCACAGCAATCAGACAAGAAGAAGAAATAAAAGGCATCTAAGTTGGAAAGGAAGAAGTCAAACTATTTGCAGATGACATGATACTGTAAATAGAGAACCCAAAATAATTCCCCCAACGAACTACTAGAAATGATAAATGAATTCAGTAAAGTAGTAGGACACAAAATTAATATCCACCAATCAGTTGCATTCTTATATGCCAATAATGAACTACACAAAGAAATTAAGAAAACAATCCCATTCACAATTGCTTCAAAAAGAGTAAAATACCTAAGAAAAAACCTAACCAAGGATGTAAAAGACCTGTACATGGAAAATTACAAGACACTGAAGAAAGAAACTGAAGAAAATACAAATAAGTGGAAGCACACACCATGTTCATGGATAGGAAGAATTAACATCATAAAAATGTCCATACTACCCAAAGCCATCTACAGATTCAATGCAATTCCTATCAAGATCCCAAAGACGTATTTCAGAGAACTAGAACAAATATTTCAAAAATTTATATAGAACCACAAAAGGCCCCTCATAGCAATGGTGATCCTGATAAAGAAGAACAAAGTTGGAGAAATTACACTACCCAATACCAAGCCATACTACAAGGTCATATTAATCAAAACAGTCTGGTACTGGCATAAAGACACATAGATCAATGGAACAGAATAGAGAGCCCAGGAATAAACTTACACTTTTTTAGTCAATTAATATTTGACAGAGGAAGCAAGCACATAGAATGGGCTAAAGATAGTTTATTCAATAAATGGTGTTGGCTCAGCAAAATGAAAAGGGAGCCAACTGTATGGGAAAATATATTTGCTAATGATACATCAGATAGAGGTTTGATCTCCAAAATATATAAAGAACTCACTCGACTCTACTCCAAGAAGAGAAATGATCCAATCAAAAAATGGGCAAAGGACCTGGGCAGACGCTTTTCCAAGGAGGAGATACAGAGGGCCCAGAGGCATTTGAAAGGATGCTTGGCATCATTAGCCATCAGAGAAATGCAGATCAAAACCACAATGAGATACCACCTCACACCGGTCAGAATGGCCATCATAAACAGATCCACAAACAACAGGTGCTGGCAAGGATGTGGAGAAAAGGGAACCCTAGTACACTGTTGGTGGGAATGCAGACTGGTGCAGCCATTATGGAAAACAGTGTGGAATTTCCTCAAAAAGCTGAAAATGGAACAGCCTTTTGATCCAGTGATTTCCCTGATGGAACTATACCCTAAGAATCCCAAAACACCAATTCAAAAGAACCTATGCACCCCAATGTTCATAGCAGCACAATTTACAATAACCAAGTGTTGGAAGAGGCTAAATGCCCATCAGTAGATGATTGGATCAAAAAATTATGGTACATTTACACAATGGAATAGTACGCAGGCAGAAAGAAAAAAAGAACTACTACACTTCGCAACAGCATGGATGGAACTAGAGAGCATTATGCTAAGTGAAATAAGCCAGGGGGCAAAAGATAAATACCATATGATCTCACCTATAAGCGGAACCTAACCAACAAAACAAAGATGCAAGGAAAATAAGACCAGCAACACTGAAAGGAAAAAGAAACCAACAGAGACAAGAGGGAAGGAAGGAGGGATGGGCGGGGGGAAAGGAAGGGAAGGGGCAAGTCAAGGAACATATAGCAAGGACTCAGGGACAAAGCTGAAGTGGGGAAGGATTGAGGGAGGGAGGAAGGGGAGGGGGGCAGGGAAAAGTTGTGGGTGGAAGGCAGAGACGAATGTATTTGGAAAAATAAATTAAAATAAAAAAATAAAAATAATAAATGGTGTTGGGAATATTGGACGGATACATGTGGAAAAATGAAACTAGACCCCCTTCCTACCCTGCACACGAGAATAAATTCAAAAATGGATCCAAGACTTAAATGTTAGTCCTGAAACCATAAAAATCCTTAAAGAAAACATAGGCAGCAAAATTGCTCATAGAAATTTTGTATCAGACACATCCCCAGGCATGGTAACAAAAAAAACAAAACACAAAAAGAAATGGGACTATAAGAAACTAAAAAGTTTTTTCACAGCAAAGGAAATCATCAACAAACTAAAAACACAACCCAAGAATGGGAGAACATATATACAGACACATCTGATAAGGAGTTAATGTCCAAAATGTATAAAGTACTTACAAAACTCAACACCAAAAAACAAACAAACAAACAAATAATGCAATTTAAAAAATGGACAAAGGGCCTGAATAGATGCTTCTCCAAAGAGGACATACAGGCAGCCAATTAACATATGAAAAGACACTCAATATCACTAATCATCAGAGAAATGCAAATTAAAGCCACAATGAGATACCATCTCACACCTGTCAGAAAGGCTATCATCAATAAATCAACAAACAAGTGCTGGTGAGGATCTGGAGGAAGGGGAACCCTTTGGCACTGCTGGTGGAAATGCAGATTGGTACAGCCACTGTGGAAAGCAGTATGGATACCTCAAGGCACTAAAAATGGATCTGCCTTTTGACCCAGTGATCCTACTTCTGGGAATATATCTGAAGGAACCCAAGACACTAATTCGAAAGAACATAAGCACCCCTATGTTCATTGCAGTGTTATTTATAATTGCCAAGATATAGATGCAGCCCAAGTGTCCATCAATGAATGAGTGGATAAAACAACTATGGAACATTGACATAATGTTATTCTACTCAGCTGTAAAAAGAAGAAAATTTTACCCTTTGTGACAGTATGGATGGGCCTGGAGAACATTATGCTAACTGAAGTAAGCCAGTCAGAAAAAGACAAATACCATATGATTTCATTCATATGTGGAATCTAATGAACAAACCGAACTAACAAGCAAAACAGAAACAGACTCACAGAGGGAGAGCAGATGACAGCTAGTTGGGGCAAGGGTTGTTAGAGGGTAAAGAGATTAAGCAAAAAAGGCAAAAGGACTCATGGACATAAACAACACTGTGGTGATTGCTGGGGGGAATGGAGGTATAAAGGGTCTAAATATAATGGGAAAAAATATAATAAAGATTAAATAAAAGAAACAAAGGAAAAAGAATCCGCTGGACTTGGCAATTAAGAAGTCGAAAGAAGACTACCTATTGGAAAAGGATCTGAAAGGTACGGATGATTTTTCTTTTTCATTGTGTATCTTCACTTTGAATTTTCTAATCTCATGCCCTGTTTTTAACTTTGAGTCTTACCCAAAAGAAAAAGGTATTTTCAAAGTTTACCTCACAAGCATCAGTTGAAAAGTTACTTTCCAAAGGAGTAAATAAAAAAAGATGACATCTGGTCCAAAAAATAGATCCAATTCTGGAAAGTAGTAAAGTCAAGTCATGTGATAACAGCTGGGCAGCAAGCCCAAGGCATACGCAGCCCAGGGAGAAACAGAGAGACTCTGTAAGACTTAAAAAAAAAAAAAAAAAGTGAGTGTCAGGCTGCACGCTTAATGGAGTTAAAAATAAAACGAAATAAACAAAAACACCCACAGATGATATAAA